CAGAGGTCTTATTGATACTAGTGTTGACATTAAATGATGATCTTGAAACAATCACTGATTTATCAGTAGTGTCAGACACAACTTTACTAGTGTTGACATTAAATGATGATCTTGAAACAATCATTGATTTATCAGTGGTGTCAGACACATTCTGGATACTAGTATTTTTATAATAAATGTTGATCTTGAAACACTGGTTTGTCATGAGTGAAAGTAAAAGAGAGAACATTATATGTTAACTACACTACATCTGCCATATCCAAAACTGATGATGGCTTTGCCTAAACCAGGAATCATCAGGCAGACTGGGATACAACAGAAGTAGTAGTAGTCTTAAATGCCATATATATCAACTTGTATAGTAGTAGCGTCAGAGGCCTTTTTGATTCTAGCATTTGTAATAAATAATGATATTAAAACACTTACCGGTTTGTCAGTAGTATCAGAAGTCTTCCTACATATAATACAGCACAGACCATGATAAATCCATTCACCAAGTCCAGCAAGATAGCTGAAAATACTAAGCGGGGCTGGAAGTCTAAGTCGGTTTGCGAAATCAACAACTAGCTGATAACGTTGAAACTTCCATATGGCATCAGTCTCATCTTGTATTTTGGATGCAGTTGCACTAAAATATCCAAGTGATTCTTCTTCATACAATACTTCATATTTTAAAAAACCAAAACAATATTACAGATACTCTTCACAAGAAAATGAATCAATCGCAACAAAGTTAAGTACAGGAATTATTTCTATCATAAAATAACATTTAACATCGACTACAGATGATATTTTAATATATCTTTAACATTTTATCAATTAAAAATAAAATATATTTTCAATTTTAAGCATTACTTTCTATTTACACAGACGTTGCACTGATAACAAAGTGAAAAAAGAAAAAAATGATAAGACATTTACCTTGCATTTTTTGCTACTCCAATGTACAAAATATATTATATATGAAAATTACTTCACACTATAAAAACACACAAATATGTATTGCATGAATTATAATTGTAAAACAAAAGCACAACAGAAAATTCTCATTCTGTTTTTATTCATGTTTTATACTAGAATAGTCACTAAATTTCTTCCTTGTATTCTGTATATATTTTATGTTTCAATCATGGTTTGATATGCATATTGTTAGCGTATTTTGGTTATTTTTAATTATTCTATTTTCTGAAGTACTTACTTCATGCACATATGGTTAACTGTGTGGAGTAAACAGCATATGTTCTTTTAGTTATTAGAGACTATGAAGTTAACCCAAAATCTGTCCTAATCCATTTTATAGTATATGAGCTTGTGTACATCTACTATGTTGACAATGATGCAAACATATTTTTACAATGTTATTTGACTGAGTGGTGCATTAAAGATGCATTGCTAAATCATTTCTTGCTACAAGTCCAATTACTCATAATAAAATTTAATGATCTTATTTTTAAATTCTACTATATTAAAACAGCAATAATTATTTTAATTCTTATTTACATACTTTTTTCAAATATTTTATTTTACAATGCATCAACATCAAACAATATTAGAAAAACAAACCTGAAAATAGCATATAAAAGAGTAAGAAGAATTAGCTTCAACAGGATAAAGTACTGAATGGAGAAAATGTACGGCCAAACACCAGTGGTAGGACAAGTATAATCCTTATCTACATATGAAAAAAAATTATAAACCTATTCAGCAGACTTTACAATAATTAGTATCACAAATAACACATATAATCAAATTAATTAAGAAAGTGATGTATTTGTTTTTAAGATTTTAGAACTCATTCTTAAGCACATTCACTCAATGCTCTGGACCTATCTCACCTCTTAGATGCACTACAGCAATGGTTCCAAACCTTTTTTCAGTATCAACACCAGTTCAGACATTACAGACCTGTACAACCTCATCCATTCAAGATTGTATTTCAATTGGCACATTAACCTTTTATTTGCTAAAAACAATGTTTTTTTCCACCAAACTCACAACCCTCACCGGAGTCTGCCGTGGCCTTGGATTTCAGAAACATTACATCACAGTGTTAACTTAAATTATGAAAGTATATAGTTTTTGTAATCAGTATCATTATTAAAGTGATTAAAAGAGCTTCTTATAATCAAACAATCTGATAATAAATAATTCTACTTTTAGAAAACTCCTCTAGGAAAAAACTTGTCTCTTACATCTATATATAATAGCTAATGTCTATCTGCCTGTCATGCAATGTATCTCCTGAACAGTTAATCATAGAAAAGAAAATTATAAATCAAAATACATTTTTAGGATTACATTACAGAAAAAGTACAAGTTTTTTGCAATTCCTAAAACTTCATTTTGATATCAGAATCGATTCATCAGTCTTTATATATGCTGAACAGTCAATCAAAGAAAAAAAAAACTTATTAAAACCAAAAATGTTTCTTTTTATGAGGGAATTTCACACAAAAGAAAACGAGACTTTATCGACTGATGGAAAGAAATATTTTGAAGATAGGGAAATGAATGGAAAAAATGCATAAAAGGACAAACATGTTTCAGTATAAAGCTGTTATTGTTTGATTTATATATATTTTTTAAATTAGTTTTTTCATGTCAGTTTTACATACCTGGATGAATATATTGTACCATATTGAATAAATTGATTTGAATTGAATATCCTCCCTTTTCATTTCTTATATAAATGACAAGCATCAAAAAGCACTCATTTCTTGTGCTCAATAAAATGACAAGGAATGGTGGCATCCAGTGAAAAAAATTCCCCAAATTTAACCTGAGCACTCTATGGCATCGAAAACCAAACATTTTTGCCAACAATGCATTACAGTTAGTCTCCTTTACTTAAAAATAAACATAATGCAGGTTTACTTATTGAAATAACACATAGAATGACAAAATACAATTGTAAATGTCCCACTATACAATCACATTGCATATATGCTATGATCCAAGACATTAGGTTGTTACATAATCTTTAATTATTCATCATTATTTTCAGGAAATGTACTCATGAATATTTTCAATGGGCATCTGCTGGTACCTTATAACGACAAAGCTAACCAAACAACTCTTATTATAGTTTTATCTCTAAGCTAGGCAAATCAGATTTTATCAAGAAATTTAAAAAATACAAAAACAATAACTATGTGATGATAAGTACAAGAATAAAAAATAAGTTATATCAGAGTCATCTTCAGTACACATTCTAACAATATGAGTTTCAAACTGTTCAAAATTAAAGGCTGCTGTACTATCAAGATCTTTAAAAATAGGTGGAAGCAATCAAAAAATAGTTTAAAACATTAGAAATAAAAAGTCTGAAAATTTTTGGAAAATCATTTACAGAAAAATGTTTCCAAAATTCACAAACAGTACATACATTATTTAAGGCTTGGGAGTCCCTGAATAACACATTTAATGGCAAAAATTGTATATGTAGGCTTTTATTCTATAGTGACCTCTCCTTTCACTATGTTGACAAAACTTAACCTTTATTTATGAGGTTTCATTAAAAATTGTATGCAAGTAGGCTATGTTAAATCTTTTCTATAACATGGCATATTAAGGATTTCACAACAGTTATGATATTAGATATGGTAATACATAGATAGCAAAAGCTATCATGGCAATGAAATGTTTAATAAATAACGTTTGGAATATGCAACAACCATCTCGTCAAACACAATGACCACTGAATGACATATGAAAGGCACAATGTAACATCACAATCTTTTCAAACTATGGCCATTGCATGGGCTCCTTGTATTTTTACAAAAATAATCTAGCTAGAGAAATATAAGCATATGAAATTTATAATTTTCAAATAATAAAAATCAACTAATACAACTATATGTTATCAGTTATTTTTTATTTGTAAATAAACATCACTGTAAATACCATAAAATAGAATCTGTTGAATCAATGTACAATTACAAAAATATTAAATGAAATTAATGCACACATTAAAAAATTCTATAATAAAGACAAATTCAAGAAAATTGTTTCAAAAAGTGTGTGTAAGTGTGTTTTCTTGTAGCAAAGCCCCAATGGGCTATCTGCTGTGTCCACTGAGGGGAATCGAACCCCTGATTTTAGTATAGTAAATCTGAAGATTTACTTCTGTCCCATTGAGGGACCTTTTTTGAACAGAGCTTATTGTTAAAATATTAAATTTACTATAACATTACAAATATTAAAATACTGAAATTTTACTCATGAAAAAGTTGTACATCTAGTCAAATGAAGATAACCATTTATTACTCAAAAACTCAAAATAAACAGTATCTGGTGGTATCAACACTTATTTATTTATTTATCTATTAAAAACAGCAAAAATTAAGTTAATTGAAAAATCCATCAGCATTGTCTATGGAACTTAATGTAATACTCAACAACATCAATTTTCAATGATCTATGGTTTAAAATATTTTATTTTAGTTTAGTTAGAAACCAATCTATACGTATTAGATTTTCTTGATAAGGAAAAATACATCCACATTAAATTCAGTAAAATATAAACATGACATACTTACAATTCCCAACATGGCATGTATCAGAACTGTTCCTGTAGAACCACAAGGAATGACACCTATCTTGTGCTGCAACCACCAAAAAAATAAGATATTAACTAACAAAAACCTATCTTATCCTTTACACTCTTGAATTGAAAAAATATTCACACACAGTCTTCAAAAATATTCTATTATTAACTTGATTTACATCTTGTTTAAAAGACAATACAACTTCAATATTAATATGAAGTCTCAATTGTATTATTACTACTTGATGTCAATGTATAATTCTTCAAAAGAGTCTCTTAAGCTAAAATTAACATTTTCCAACACTGAAAATGTATTTCCCATAGATAATACCTCCACTCACATCTAGCTTTCCTGATTCAGTGTTGCCCTCTATGTAGACTTTTTAACTCACCACTAGACTTGAGGCTTCCACATAATCTCACGTGTTTTCAAATGATATTTCTGCATTGTTGTATGCAAATGAGCAGACTATAACCCTCTATCAATAGAAGCACAACTCCATCTCCTAGTACAGCTAGCTCCCTCTATAGTGATTATTGAATCCTCACCTCAGGATTAGGCAAAAAAGTAAAATGTATCTGAAGTTAGTAGGCAAAATGGGAAGTGTGAAATGAGTGACTATCTATCAGGAATACATTTTCAGTGTTAGGAAATGTTAACTTCTGATATGATATGTAATCTCCACTCACATCCAGCTAGAATTCCACGTTGAAGTGGTGGAGGAACTGATGCAAAATTTTACCTACATGAGTTCTCCTTAGGGAAGCACCTAAAGAAAACTCATGGAGTGCAACACCCTATACCTTGGAACAGTATAGGGTGACACTTGTGAGAGACAGCACCTTATACCTACCAGGATACACTCTTATTTTGGAAGTACTATATATGTTGTGTGGCTAGGCCATGTCAGACCATACATATATTTATAATTAAATTTTATTATTTTATTCCTCTTTGATTACCCATTGAACCATGTATAACTACTGTTCACACCACTACAAGTTGTAAATTACTTGGGAAATGTGCAGCTCACGTTACGCTATCGATTTACATTACCCATGAGCTACTCCAAGCTGCTCCAGTGCATGCTTCATGAAATATTTATATTATATTATTACTTATTACACCAAATTTAACATTAACTAACCTAAAGAGACCCTTATTTTACATTTTAGTTATTTTTATAATAATGAATAAAGAATAAACATGAAAAACAAGAAATAAAGTACTTATCAATATCTTTCTTTTTTTGCTGTTGACAACACTTAACTCTACTTTTTATACTAATGGTAGTAATGCACTAAATAATTTTTATTTAATTAAATAATGCACCAAAAGACATAGAAGAAATTGTCTGCTTTTTGCATGTTATTATCCTAACTATCACAATTTTCCTGATTTTCTAACTATGCAACAAGAGCCATTACAAATTCATCCAGGCTAGTCATTATCTTTCCCGTGGGAACAAAGCTTGTACTAACAGAGAAAACAATGTTCAGAAAACAAAGTAACCAAGTGAAATGAGACATGGCTGAGGAAAAAGAAACCACCAATGTAGAAAAAGGAAGGGGACCAGTGTCCACTGAAAACTCTTACAAGTAACAGTGAATTACTTCTAAAAGGAGATGGATTAAAAAAATATAGTTAAAGGGTAGTGAAGGCATGAAAATTGAGCTTCAGAAAGACTAACAGAGGACTATGGATCATCAGAAACCCTAGCATGAAGAGACTCCAGAGTTTGGGAGTCCAAGAAAAAGGCTTGAACTCAATTGTAACACAAGGTATATGTGCAACCAGTTGAGGAGGATGTGGCATACCAGCACCAGAGTGAAGCTGAGACAAAACATTTTTTCACCATGGACTCGGATATCATGGGAAGGGAAGAAAACATAATATTCTGAAGAAGGGAAGTAAAGAAATAATAAGAAATATAAGAGAGAGAGTAAAGAAGGTAACATATCCGAGAAGAAAAGTCATGGAAGGATGCAGAACTTCGAGTAGATCCACGACTATACTGGAAAAATTGTATTTAAATTTACACTTCAAGAAAAGGCTGCTGAAAATCCACATCTTTGTGGGCAGGAATTATAAGAGAGAAGTCCGTGTCAAAGTCTGAAAAAGACCCAGGCCATATGCAAGACTCCACCACCTGCTGCACAATAGCTTTCACGTTCTCCAACAGATAAAGAAGCACCTGATGCCATTGTGGTAGTTTGTCTAGAGTGAACAGTCCAAATTTTTACTACTAGACAGCATGGAAATGATTATCTCTGTGTAATTCATGTTGTGGAAAATAAGGAACAAAGTCTGCAAAGGCAGAATTGTTTGAAAATTTGAAAAATAATTTCCACAACACTTGCTTTTGTAGATACTTCAATCAAACACTGGTGTTGAGAAACCTCACGAGAGAAAAATCAGACACTTCTTAACACAAGGGGATTAAATCGAGAAGTAATGATTGAACAACCAGAATAGAGGGAGTCAGATGTACTAGGAGGCAGTGTCACATTCTTATTGGTGGATGGTTGTCACATGCTCAGTTGCATGCACCATCATCACAAGATTAAGTGGAAACCCTAAAGCTAGTGGTGGGCAAAAACGTTTGCATATAGAGAGATGCATTGAAATGGGAAAACTAGATGAAAGAGGAGATCACATATCATATCTGAAGATATCTAAAAGGTTCCTATATTAATATAGAATGATTGACATTCATGTGGTATTCCCAATTTAGAAGAATAATGGCACAAAAGAAACTATCTAGAGTGTTAATTCAAAACAAATGCAGGTTTTCCGGGCTGAAAAAATGAAGTAAAACTAAATGAACTGGAAATTAAAACAATAAAAACAATAATGAACATTTATGAAAACACAGTACTTTAAAACACATCTTGGCCCTTTCAAAATTTGCTCTCACAATTGCCATTCTTTCTGTAGCTGACAAAACACACTCTGGATTACAAGAATACACACGTATCTGTGTTCTATGTGACTGTTTTAAAGCAATCTTATGTACACAAGGTAAAGTGAGATACAATAGAATTATTTCATAAAATTGTTAATAACAGTTGTGATCAAACCATGCTACAAAAAGTATAAACACCTCTGGTTAAGTTTTGCACATGATTTTAATCAGATTTAGTGCATTCCAAAAATTAAGCTTAGAAAAATGTTAAAGCTTTATAGATATTACATATTTTGTGAGATTTGTAATATTTGCATACTACAATTACTGTGTACTATGAATTTTATGATAATCCTTTCAAATCAAACCTTTGATATGCAACTATGCTAACTTTTTAAGTTTAGTAAATGTAAAAGTATACCTCATAACTGTAAAATGTAATTGCTAACATTACTTCATATTGAAATGCATTTAACATGCTGTAGACACATTTGTTTCAAAACCTTCCTAAATTGAATAATGGAATTGTGAAGGAACTAATAACTATTGATTCTAAATCCCATTGAAAAATACCATCATACAAGCTTACCCTCTAAATCAGCAATTGGTGTTAGGAACATAGAAAACCAGGCTCTGTGAAATGTACGTCGAAAAAGTTCACTAGTGAGTGGATAATCTGGGTATATAGTTGCATGTATAACTACACCGCAACTTATAATCACAAGTAAGGTCATTCGCATAAAGTTTATGAAGTCCACAGTTACCTTGTTAAGAAAAAAAGTAACAAATTTTAATAATCAAAATTCAATAAAGAAAAACATACAAGTCTAGTATATAAAATGATGCAAAATTTGTGTACCACCAATACAGTTCTATTAAAGTCCTGCCCTTATTATGTAAGTAGTGTTTGTGTTCCACTATCTCTCTCTTTTTCGTTTGTTACAATACTTGATTGGAATGCCATTAACCTTGCAAGAATGTATTGAAGGGATCCTGCATTATGTGACATTGAGCAATATCAGTGGTAGACGTTCTGAACATCTGTAAGGAAAGGGCTTGAAAAACCACTACACTGAATGAATTTTGCATCATCCTATACAACAGTTTATAAAAAGTAAAATGTAATGTTTTTATTAAGTCCAGAGTAATACATCAATGTATGATTCCATGAATTGTGATGTCTATATATTCAGTATTACATATAATTCTAATATTCACATTTTATTATGACAACTTATAATACAAGTGTATCATTAAATCCTCAAGCAACTTGCTAACTGCAAACAATTTGAACTAACTAGATTTACTGAAGTTTTACCAAACGCATTAACCACATACCATTAATCTCACTCGATACAGGAGAGGTCCTAAAGTTGGAGATATTGGAAGATATATAGCAATGAGTCGATAATAGAAGTACAGGAGACCAAGACACAAAAGCACCTTTCCACTGTATGGATCATAAAAGGCTCCAAGTTGATAGATCCGACCCATTGCGTACAGACAGATGAAGGCTATTATTAGCAAAATTTCACAACATTTCAGGAACAAGGGAATGCTGCTGTATTTCTATTGGAAAAATCAATATCAAAACGTTTGTCATATTTTACAACAGAAATGCCTGTTGAAGAAATAAAAAACAGTGCTCCTTTCTACACTTTCATAAGAAAAGTAAAATTACTTTATACATCCTCTATACAGACAGTTATTTTGCACATATGTTCATCTATATAATAATTTTAAAGTTAATAATCTATAAACATTATTATTACTAAATTATTCAATCACATCATTAGAAACCAAAAACTTTTATCTACCCTGTACAAACGGTATGTCCGCCTAATGGTTTCCACAACCATGAGGGATGTCCATGCACAAACAGTGATGTCTAAATAGTAGTTTCCACAAGAGGGCCACAAGACAGCCAAGCTGAACAACCCAAGGTAAGTCATGTAAAAAACCTGGAAATGAATAGATAATGAAATTTCTTCAAGTTATAAGATAAAGAAAATAACTAATAACAGAATAACCATAATATAAAAAAAAAAAAAAATAGGAACAATCTACACAACATGAAATCAATATATGAATTAACTCCAGTATATAATCACTACAAATGTGTCCAACATTTTTTTTTTATAGTAAGTCTTTTAACCTATATAAAGAAGCTTGAAACTAATGCTTGGCAAAAGCCTTATACACATTGTACTTTTGTGCAGTGTGACACAAGGCTATCTGTACATAGATATCCCATAATTTTAAAGCGATAGACTACAAGGAAGGCAGCCAGTCAACAACACCCACCATCAACTCTTGGGTTACTCTTTATCTAAACAAATAGTAGGATCTGACCATCACTTTTGAAGTATACTCACAGCTCCAGAATGTAGAACAGTTTTTTATGGTAATGGAGAACTTATGCGCAAAAAGTCAGAAATAAATATTATATTATTTTAGAGTTAAATCATACATTTCAAAATAATAAAAAATACATTAGTAAAAATGAGATACAATGCACCTTACAGAAATATAATCATATATTCATAATACCATACAAGTTTAAAAGCACAAGAGTTAAACTGTTCTTGCTTTATGCAATTTTACTTTTGAAAACATTATTTTAATATTTACCAGTGTAGTCCAGTTACATTATTTTAAAACATCTAGAACTTGTAGAAAGATTTATGATTAATTAATATCAGCCAAAATAAACTAAAAATGCACATTTCTGAAAAATAAGGCATTGTTAGAATTTCTGAGCAGTTCAAATAAATATATTCTCTTAACTCTTTCTGCATGGGCTTGGTCCCTGGGACTGACCTCGTAACCATTTTGCGCTTGTTATAGTTTTTATGCTATAACTTAAATTAGTAAACGTATGTTCATGAAACTTGGCAGATTATCAGTAAACATTACAGGGTTTCATATGCAAAATATCAGATTTTTTTTCTTAACTCTTAAAGTTTGTTAAGCAATGTTTTTCTCATGCTTTTTGCAAAGTAATTTTCATTTTAAGATTAAAAATAATTTATGCATCAGAATATTTCAAATTTCACATGCAAAATCTTTATAATGTCCAGACAGTTATCAAATGTTTCTTAAGAAAAAAAACTAGATTTTATCTATTATTTTCACTAACGACTCTCTGTACAGGATCGGTCAATTATACCTTTTTCATTCTAAAATTACTAAAAATTATAACACAATAAAAAATGTTTAGACTAAATAGCTTAAATCTCATAACATTATACATTTATATATATTTATTATTTTTATTATATTGACCTTTCAGCCGTGCCTGGCTAACAATACAGAAGTTACAATGACGCACCACACATGCACTCATGTTACCATATCCAATGATATAAAAGTAACCTTTAGTCTTTACAAAGTGACCTGTCTTGGCTGTGTTATAATGGACTAGTATTTTGTAAAATACAGTCACATTTCAATTATTATACATAATATATGTATGTACATTATTACTATACATAAATAACTTTTTAAAACATAGAACAGTAAATAATATAAATAATTTATATTTATAAATAACTTTTTAAAACATAGAACAGTAAATAATATAAATAATTTATATTTATAAATAACTTTTTAAAACAAAGAACAGTAAATAATATAAATAATTTATATTTATAAATAACTTTTTAAAACATAGAACAGTAAATAAAGAAGTAAAGCAAACAATTATCTCTTCCAGTTACAAACTTTTCACTCATTTGCTGCTCGTCATAGGATGCTTATAAAATTTTGCACATGGAGGATGTGAAACAAAATATTTTTGTTTAGGTTTTATATATAAATCTGAAATAACCAAAAAATCATAAATTACTACATCGATACCATAGAATTCCACTATAATTTATCAAGCTTAGTAACTAAGATTTGGATCTAAGAAAAAATATTAAATTTCGAGCAGCTTCACCCTACCAGCATGAAGATTTATATTGAAAGAATGTGATGGCACCGTAATACTTGAAAATGGCTGAGAAAACCACTAGGGGACATTCTGAGCCTTCAATTGGTTATTCATGTCATATACAGAAGTAGGTGTATAAAGGGTCTGTTTCCAAAAATGGAAAGAGATGAGTGGGGCCACTGTGTTTCATTCAGTACATGAGTGATATCTCAGCAAACAGAAAAGATAAGAGGTTTATATTTTATATTCTACCTTGTTAATATTGGTAATTTGAGTTCCTAATTCGTAAGAAACTACAGACTGTGTATTTTGACATCACAAACATCTAATTTGAACCAGTGCTGCATTCAACATATCACATTTAGATAGATATCGAAATAGATGTTTAGGTGTGTTTTTTTTATATTTACTTTTAAATTAAGA